GACGGCAGAGAGAAGGAAGTAGAGACAAGGCGGCAGGGAGAAAGAAAATAGAGACAATGCGGCAGAGAGAAAGAAAATAGAGACAAGGACGACAGAGAGAAAGGAAATAGAGACAAGGACGGCAGAGAGAAAGGAAATAAAGAGAAGGACGGCAGAGAAAAAGGAAATAGAGACAAGGCGGCAGAGAGAAAGGAAATAAAGACAAGGACGGCAGAGAGAAAGGAAATAGAGACAAGGCGGCAGAGAGAGGAAATAGAGACAAGGACGGCAGAGAGAATGGAAATAGAGACAAGGCGGCAGAGAGATAGGAAATAGAGACAAGGACGGCAGAGAGAAAGGAAATAAAGACAAGGCGGCAGAGAGAAAGGAAATAGAGACAAGGCGGCAGAGAGAGGAAATAGAGACAAGGACGGCAGAGAGAAAGGAAATAGAGACAAGGCGGCAGAGAGAAAGGAAATAGAGACAAGGCGGCAGAGAGAATGGAAATAGAAACAAGGCTGCAGAGAGATGAAATAGAGACAAGGACGGCAGAGAGAAAGGAAATACAAACAAGGCTGCAGAGAGAGGAAATAGAGACAAGGACGGCAGAGAGAATGGAAATAGAGACAAGGCGGCAGAGAGAATGGAAATAGAGACAAGGACAGCAGAGAGAAAGGAAATAAAGACAAGGACGGCAGAGAGAAAGGAAATAGAGGAGTGTAGAGACTGGGGCAGAAAGTAAGGAAATAGAAACAAATTGGTAAAAATGAAACCGGGTTGAAAAATCCGAAGGTAATATCTCGACTTATACACAGATTCCAATTGATCTTTTAGACAGGGCCAGACAAGAGGATAAAAACAGATAACATCTATGGTGGCCAAGATGGCGATGTGAACAGGTCGACTTCTCGGCGGTGAAAGATTTTTGTCAAACTCTTCTTTAATATAATTGTGATTTTGTTGGAATTGTTACCAGTAGTTAATACTAATGTGATCGTTCTATGAAGTGCTGCATTTGGAAATATTAGAATTTAAAGTGATTTTGGAACATTTTCCCTGAACGGTGAGATCTTTTCACATTTGTAAACATTGATAACTTCAATCACTGATTTACTAAGTAAGCCTCGTTATCTTTAAAGCTACAAAGTAAAGAAATTATAATCTACCAAGTGAAATCTTGTTTTGTGCCGATATATATTTTAAGTTGATTTCGTTTGTTTTGATTCATTCATCCATTCATTCATTCGTACTCACATTTTTTCGCTCGATCATTCTTTCATGTATTTATTAACTTAGTGACTGAATGTATTAAGGCACTTCATTTACCTTTTATGCCTTTAGTTATTCAGGGCCTCATTCTGTCTTGTATGAATATTTAGTTTCCATTGTTCCAGGTATTTACTTATCTATTGTTTTCATTATCACGTGCCTATAATTCTTAACTTTCTGAATTTAAGTATACTACACTGAAAACATTGTATAACCGTGTGACCTCATAATTAGTATAATCATTTAAAGATGATGTAAGTTCAAATATGAATTCCACTATGCTGATTATTGCATGAGACAATTTGTTGTTAAATGTTATAATTACCCCAAATTGTTATCACTAAACCGATTAAGTTTTACACAAAGTTACTTTTCTCTATCACTTTTATAGTTTTGACATTGAAGAGTATTTTTTTTTCTCTGTTTCTTCTTTTCTCTCATTACTTTTTTATGTTCTAAAACCTTGAAGTTTTTTGGGGGCACTACCACATTTTTTGTTTGAAATTTTGAAAGTCTAGATTTTCGGATGAAAAGCACTCCCACTTATTCTTAAAATGATTACTTAAGACAAAAATCAATTTGACAACTTTGGATACTCGGCTTCCATGCGGATAGATTTAATCATTGGGTTTGAATAAAATGGTTATGAAGAATTATTTCAAATAGAAGTCAGTATACTAATGTAAGCAAACATATATTCTTTCAATGCCTGCAGAATTGAAACCGTGTTATAGAATGAATTGATTTTTGTTTCAATTTTCTTTTCTAACCTTCATAAGAAATATAAATAAAATACTTTTCTTTTTGTCCAATTCGGACATAATGCCCCTTTAAGTTAGAAGCGAGTTGAAAATATTGTTTCACGGTAAACTATTTTCACTATCTTGATGATATCTAATTGTTTTTATTCCCCTATATTCTATCACGTATGCTGTATTAGTATTAACGGTTTTACATGATCGGTTTTCTAGTGAAGCAAATTCAATAAGATTTAAATACTTCAAGAATGATCCGAACAGCTTTAATGTCTCTCTTGTTCAGTAGAACTCAAATGACAATATTTCTTACGGTTGATGAACTGCAAAACTGTATACGAAATTTGATTCTTAATTCATAAATTATTTCAAATCATATTTTAATTACTCAATAAATATACAATAAATTTTTAGGAAATATGTGACAAACTTTCACTGCCTTTCAGTGACTATTCATCTTGATTTTGTTTAATGTTTTATTGTATATAATTTCATGTAAATATATTTTATATTTGATTATTCTCCCTGCATTGCTACACATTTATATTTGTTATATATATACATAATATTGATTATATCAGGTGACATACATCCCAATCCAGGACTAACAAAATCTGCTTCACTAGTGCATCTAAATGTAAGGAGTCTCACTAAAACTATAACAACAAATACTACTGCTCTTGATCTAATTACAGCCGAATACTCTGAAAAATTTGATTTTATTCTCCTAACTGAAACATGGCTTGACAAAAAGCACTCTTCCAACACCCTTTCTATCCCCAATTTCCATGCACCAGTACGAAAGGATGGACAAGACGGGTATGGTGGGGTAGCTGTTTATATTAGATATAACTTCTTCTTTAAACGGAGAATCGACTTTGAATCTGACAATGTAGAGGGCGTTTGGATCGAGACTATCATCAACGGATCAACTTTTCTAATAGGAACTTTCTACAGACTTCCAAATTTCAAAACCAGTGTAAATAATTCTATTTTTGACTTTTGCTCTTGCTACAGTTTCTAATATAAAAAATATCTTTGGCGACTTAAACATTGATCTTCTGACTAAAAACAATACCTTCATCCATAACTCAATCCAAATCTTTGGCTTCAAAAACTTAATCGAAACATCCACACGTTTTGACAAAAACGGTTCGAAAACTTTAATAGACCTCATCTTGTGCAACTGTATGCAATATGTTAAGAACGCAGGCTGTTTAGCCAACTTATGTAGTGACCACTGCCCTGCATATTGTCAGCTTAATCTCGATTAATCTCCTATGTGACTATTCAAATACCGACTTTGAGACACTAAAACATGACATAACAAACACAAGTTGGGATACCATTATAGACAACGCAAATATTGACGCCCCAATCACTGCCTTCACATCTGAATTGATAAGTATTGCTAAGCGAAATATACCGAACAAAATAGCAACCATTAGGCCTCGTGACCAACCATGGATGAATAACACAATTAGAAAACTAAGCAGACAGAAAACAAAATTCATCGAAAAGCTATCAGATCGAATTCTGAAGAGTATTGGCAAAAATTCAGGAAAATTAGAAATTCATACATCAAACTTATTCGGAAATGCAAAAATGATTATTTTGAAAATATAGACAAAAACATCAATGACAATGAGAAGTTTGGAAGCACAAAATGGTGGCAGCTTGTCAATTCGTATGTCAAAAAGGATAAAGCTCGAAAAGCGGAAATTCCAACTCTTGTTCATAATGGTGTCCCTGCTTTTTATTCTATTGACAAAGCTAACTGCCTTAACAACTTTTTCCAATCTTGGATCCAATCTTTCAATTGTATGATCCGATTCAATATTCGTTCAACAAGAAGAAAGAGGATTACGTAATCATCTCACCATCGGTAGGGACAAAGACCCAAATAAACGACGGAGGAAGAGTTACCTTTGAAATTAATTCGTTGTCCAATTGGTTGCTGCTTTCCGATGCCCATTTCCGATGCGATTTCAAAATCAAAGACGCCACTCAGAATCGAATTCCACAAACCAACACGAATTTAGAAAACAACTTCTTTCCGTCTTTATTCAGTGAAATGGTTTTGGAAGCTGGTTCAAATCCGATAGAGACCATAAAACACCCCGGCGAGTTTGACACAATGTTGAAAACGGTTATGTATCCCAAAAACTACGATTCAGTTTCGGGATGGATTCCCGATGTCGGTGACGGAGAAGTTTTAAAAGAACCGGTCAGAACTGTAGCAAATGACGAAGACCTTGCTAGGATAAGGGTAGTTGCTAGAAACACACTGGAAAGAGTGACTCGCGGAGTAAATCACGGATTTGAAAAACGAGCGCTTCAATACAACAATGTTGTCGAGAACAACAGATGGGGTAATTACGTAAATTGGAAGTTGTATCCTTTATTTGGTCTCTTGGAACACAGAAAGGTTTCCATAGGTTTACCGTATAAAATTCATTTGCAAAGAGAAATCAACGACAAGAAGATATTCTTTGGTGAAAACAACTCTGACGCAAAATTGGAAATAACGAATATCCAACTTTACATACCGGTAATCACTCCTTCCGTAGAAGTGGAAACGAGAATATTCAACTAACAACATTTTCAGAGTGGCATTGAACCATACTCAAGATCCCATCATTCGCAAAGTTCAAGTCAGATTGAACAACGAAATTATCCCAATCAACCTTTGACAATTGATCCTTCCAAAAAAGATTACAACGAATCGTACAGAAACTATAAAAACATGTGCGAATTGTTTGGAAATACGCCTCAGTTTGAATACACAGATTTTTCACTCAATCATCCAATCTTTTGTTTCGATCTGTCAGCTCATCAAGAAGATCTTTTCAAAACTGGTGTAAACATAAATATTCACATCGATAAAACACAAGGAGAAGTAACCGGTTACTGTTTATTGCTGGAAGAAGCAAAACATTTGATTAAAATATCAGATAGAAGAATGATAAGAATTGAATAAAAAAACACCCTTTAAAAATGAAACCAGAAACTTTAGTTATGAAAATAATAGAAGCTATCGAAACGAATTCGCCGACATACAACGGTAAAAAAGTGCACATAACCCAAAAGATTATCGATAAATACAAACATTGCAAAGTCAGAGACGATATAGACTTGGAAAGAATTGATCAGAATTTAACTAAAAAAGGTGGATTTTTACCTTTCTTACCTTTAATCTTTGCAGGTTTAGCTGCAGCAGGCGCAACTGCTGGTGGGGCTGCTGGGATTGCCAAAGCTGTCAACGATAAGAAAGCTGAAGCAGCTGCAAACGCCGAAGCATGTAGACACAATTTGGCAATGGAAAGAGAAGCACGAGGAGGTTCGGGAGTAGGAGATATATTAGGGACGGTCAAAGAATTCGGACAAAGATTTGGCGAAGAAACCAAGAAAACCGTTAAAGAGGGATTAAGCATTAAATAGATAATATCGACACCGGAGAAATAAAAGTCAAACACAAGGGCAACGCCATATTTTTTAAAAACATACAGAATCTTTCTTTCAAAGTATAAAGGCAACGGGGTGATTTTTGGTACGAAAATGTAATAAATAAAAATGGGCAAGAAATTCAAACATTCGGACATATTTCCTAGCAACCCCATGCTCATGTGCATTTGCGGATCTTCGGGTTGTGGAAAGACTTATCTCACTTTTAACATGTTGACAACACCGAACCTTTTAGATTTCGAGTCTCTGTATATTTACACGACTACTCCCGAACAATCCTATTATCAGTTTCTCAAAGCTTTGGAATACGTCTCGAAAGAAGAAGTTCAAGACATTTTTCACTACTACGAAAGCAACGAAGACTTGCAAGAGAACGCGGAAATAAAAGACATTTTAGATGGCTTTATCAAAGAAAAGAATCCTTCTCTGAAACCGACCGACGTCAAAGTGTTTCTGACTAAAAACGTTAACGATTTAGACTTGTCTAAAATCGACAACCACCGAAAGAACTTGATTGTCTTTGACGACTGCGTGGCACAAAAAAGTCAAACCGTTCAACAAGAATTCTTCACGAAAGGAAGACATCACAACTGTCACTGCATATACCAATCCCAATCTTTCTACGGAATGGACGCCATGTTTATCAGAAAGAACGCAAATTGTTTTTTATTATTCGAATTAAACGAGAAAGATTTATCTCAAATCATTCAGTCGATAAATCACGGAATGGACAGAGACACGTTTAAAAAGGTTTGTAAAACTCAATGGAGAAACCCGGATGATCATGGATATGTATTTGTTAATACTAGAAAACCTGCGGGAGAAAGAGTTATGATCGATATATGTTAATTTTTTTTTTTTAAAAATGACGGATTGGAATAATATTTTTAAAAGAAATAGAGAATATATCAAAGCTAAGAATAAAATAAAGACCCAAGTTGAAAATAACAGATTACAACAATTCGGATTAACGGAAAATCTACAGACTCTATTTCAACCCATATTAAAAAGTCAAGAAGATATTAAAAAGAGACTCGCTATAGAACCTTCACCCCATAAAGATCCACCGCTTGAATATGGTGGTATTAAGACATTAGATGATATAAAACGTCTTTTTTCAAACCCTGACCCAGATTTACCGAAGAGCATTTCACCAATCATTGATGAAGTGGGCTTATTGTTTAATGGTTTTAGAATAAGATTTAGTGGAAATTCACCACAATTCAAAATCGACACAAAAGACTTTATATTTACATTAACGAGAGGATTAATAGATTTAATGAATGGCGAGGACGTTAAAATTGCCGATTACAAGGATTTAGTAGCATACTCAAAATTTCTACATGCGATCGGAAGTCAGGACCCGAAACAAGAAGATTGAAAGAAGTTGATTTATATATAACAAAAGTTATTGAGGAAGAGGATGTAGATGATTATGTAGAAGATTATCCAATCATACAAGAAATAGACGAATTCGATGATATGGTGGCATCTGGGCAAGGTATAACGTTTTTATCCGACAACAACGACGAAAAAGTTAATAGATTACGAGTAATATTAGCGGCCATGAAGGAAGGTCATCGATCGGACAGACAATACAACGAAGTCAATGGCATATTAAAACGACTTTTGGAGAAAAAAATCATCAGTAACAAAGACTATATAAACGTCATTAAAAATGTCCAATAAAGAACAATTGTTCGTTATCACCTCGAATAAATCAGACATCAAATTGTCTCTAGACTACGAGTATGAACTCGATCGCAATAAACAGTACGAACTGGGATTAAACTATTTCTCCGTTTACAATTCCATTAGAAACATCAACGAAAAAAACAATCAACTAAAAATATCGACGGATAACGGAGTTACGTTGAAAACCATAAGCTTACTACCGGGAAGCTACGAATACGTAGCCATCAACGATTACCTATCTGAATACGCAGGAAGCGTGAGCGGTAAAAACAATATCGAATTCGAAGTTAATTTGAATCTGAACAAAATAAAACTGATCTTGAGAAATAACAGTCAAGTCGATTTCAACGTAGAAAATTCGTTGAATGCGTTACTAGGGTTCGATAAACGAATATACGCGCAATCGACATTGGCGCCACACAAGGCCAACATCGAGAACGACATCGACGTGATCAACATTCACTGTAATTTGATCAACGGTGGATTTTTCAACAAGCACAAACGCCAAATCATATACAGCATACCGACTTTTACGGTGCCGATCGGATACAGAATTATAGAGAAACCGTTTCAAACGACCTATTTACCAGTCAATTCTTTCATGATCAAAGATATAAATCTGGAAATCAAAGACGGTAAAAACAGGTTCATAGACTTTGGCAACGAAGAAATTGTCATTCAACTTCATTTAAAACAATCTTCATTCTCTTCTTGAATAGTAAGATAATCGAAATCATCAAATTCATAGTTTTCGTCAAAACTATACTCATCTTTGTCGTCGTAAGGATACATAATTCCTTCACTGTTTGGTGGTTTTCTTTTAACATTATTCAAAAAACTTCTAAAAGCTTTAGTTTGTTTATCATTTGGAATAACTACTCCATTGGTGAAACTTTTTTCCCATTGTTTCTTAAATTCGTTCGATACATCATGTCCGCTTGCTAACTGAACGTAATCTTCTACACTTATCTTATCATTGGAATAACCTTTAAACGTTTTCTCTTCTTTTAAAACACCATCAGAAGTCAAAACGATGTTGTATTTGACTTTTGGTGCTAAATATAAACCAAATATAATTCCACCGTCACCGTAATCGTTTTTACCTTTGCAATAGTCTTTTTCGGAGACCAAACCGGCTCTGTTTAGTTTTTTCCAATTGTTGGATGAAATGTACAAACTATCGGTGTCGGTATAGTATATTTCGGGTTTATAAAATCCATTTATGACGTGAATGAAATTGTTCATTCTTTTTTTACTGTGAGATAAAACGAATGATCCCAAATGACTAGGTGTTAGTCGTGTAGATTTACTATCTTCGGTAGTAATCTTTTTCTCCAATTTCTGTTTCAACAATATATTGGGTATCATTAATTTTCTCATAGGTTTTAACACGTGAATCAAAGTTGGCCTGTAAAGTTGCTTCATTCCATAAATGTCAATATCTTTCTGAATTGATTTACCATACAAGGAATTACCTAATAATTTCATGCAATTACTATCCACGATATTACCTTCTCGTTTATATTTATTTCTTAGATCTCTCAAAATTAAAATATAATCTCTATAGGGTGGAGTTTTAAAATTTTCTTCGTAAACTATACCATCTAATATTCTAATAATTCGTCCACCGGCTTTCACTATTTCTTGAATATCGACCGATGTTAAAACGTCGTGACAGAAACCATTTCTGAACCTGATTTTGTTACCAGTTTCCTTTTTACCTTCTTTATTCGTGAAAGTGATTTTATCTTTAGCTGGTATCGGTTGTAAGAACATGTTTTTGGGATAGTCAAACCACACTGTTAAAATAGCTGTTCTAGGTCTGAATTTTTGTTTATTGAAGAGTTTTACAAATTCTTTTTCTTCTTCTGGTAGAAACGGTCTTCCACTTTCCGCTCTCGGATATTCACTGTCTAAATCCGACATGGCAGAAGCGTATAAACCGTTAGCATCAAATGCCATTAGTTTAGTACATTCTATTTTTTTAAGTCTCGAATGAACCTCCGTTTTGTCTTTTGTGCTTGCGCTGTATTCTTTGTATAAATCGATTATGTTATTACTTTCAAGTTCTGTGTCACTTTGTGAAATATATTCCTTTAATACGTTACAAATTTCATCCATTTTGTTCGTTTCAAATGATTTTCTATTTGCCGAAACTCTTCCTCCTTTAATAGATCGTCTGATAAAATTTCTTATAAAAGGATTAGTGTGCGAATAAACTTTTTCTACGTTTTCTTTTTCGGTATGTTTCACAACCATTCTAGTAGTTTCATACCATTCTTCTTCAACCATTTCTTTATCGTAATGATATAAATAATACCAACCCTTTAAAGATGGAGCCGTTAGATTATTGGACATATTCTGGTTTACAACTTCTTTCATGACTTGGTTGTATTTTATCAAACAAGCTCCCAAACAGAGAGTGTCTCTCTTGGCGTAAGGTTCCCATTCGTGTCTCAATTCCTCCCAGTTGTCTTGCGTGTATTTAGCGATATCTACGTCGGCAATCTTTCTCAAATTCGCGGGAAGATTGGAAGAATTTCCCCATGCAGCCAAACTAGATTTTTCATGTTGATAGGAACATGTGAAATTAATATGTTGTAAATAATTACCCTTTATTTCTTTCTGTCTTTTCCATTTTTTCTGTAAATCTTCATCTGTGTATGGATTAGATAAAGGAAAAGATAGAATTCCTCTGGGTGTTTTTAAAGGGCAATGTGTTAGTTTTTTTGTATTTTTAAGCACGATCCAGTTGTCGAATCCACTGCCGTTATGAGAAATTAATATTAATCTCTTTCTATCATACTGACCTAAATATTTCAACATTTGATCTATACAATCTGTACCTACAAATATTTCTACTACATTCATTAGTTTATCATAAAATTCTTCTGGAACATTATCAGTAAGAAAGATATCTTTTTCTAACTTTTTTCTTAGTTTTTCTAACTTAATTAAAGTGCAGGCATAAGGAATTGCTCTTCGCGTGTCTTTTTCTGAATACGTTTCGCAATCCCAAGCGAATAACGCATCATCACTCATACTTGAAAGCACGTTTAGTTTGAGAGGTGAAACCTGTGTTACTGCGTTATCGTCTCTACACGTTTTCCACACCTGTTCGTAATTGTCTTCTATTTCTTGAATTCCCAAATTTTTTTGGCTTCTTCTAATCAAACAGAAATGCGAGTTGTGTAAGTAAAAAAACCAATCTAATTCATCATGTACGTCTCTGGGGTGAAAATGTCTGTTTTTGGGATTATAAATTTGAAACGAAGTGTTAAATTTCTTGGTGAATTCCTTCATTCTAGCACAAGTCATCACCCCTTTTCTATTTGCTTTTGAAAACCCGTTGATGTATTCTTGAAATTTACACGTTAAATCTTTGTTCAAAACACGATTGACGCATTTGATAAAACAGTGACCATCTGTAGATATGTAACAATTTTCACCTTCGTATTCATTTATCTTTTTAAGTAGATCAGTTCCTCCTCTGCCAACTGTCGATCTTTTTATTTCTTGGAAATTGTCTTTCATTAAAATTATTTTTCCTGTAAAATACCAATCGGAAGCATCAGATTTTTTGTCCATATTTGAAAAGATATTCTGAAAAGTTTTGGCATTGAAACCGAGGAGTGACATGTTTTGTCTGTGATTCCCTTCCTCGACTATCTCTCCATCTATTTTAATTTGTCCTTTGAATGTTTTAAATTTATCAGAGATAGCTTTGATAACATCGGAAAATAGGGCGTTTTCTATCAATGTTTCATCGTGTTCGATTTTATTAATATTTTTTAAGTATATATTTTTGATTATTTCTTTATTTTGACCGCTGATATTTCTGTATGGAATTTGTCCAAAATTTCATTGAATTCTTCTAATTCTTCAACTGTTATGTTCTTGTCTTCTCTCGATCTTTCGAAAAAGATGTACAATTGATTAAGATACATATTCAAGATATCCGTTTTCTTTTTATAATGAGTTTTCTTTTTTCTCGTGAAACCTATAGCAATCAAGCCACAAGATGAAGTTTGAATAGCAGTAATTGTGGCTAATACAGTTGGGACGATGACCGGAACCATTAATCCACCAGTCACGGCCGTTGCAAATGTTGTTCCTATCGTTAGAACTACACTCGCTGTTTTGAAAACAGAATCGATTCTACTCCATGTTTTAATGCATGTATTGTACTGTCTCAACTTTATTTTCAACTCTTCTTGTTTGTCTATCATGTATTGTTGTCTGCATTCGAGTTCCATTTTTTAAGTCGTTAAATTAAGTGAATTTTCGATAAACGAAACCTTTCGAGAAACCTATTATTATTATATTTTTGGATATTCAAAATAAAAACATTTACGCATACTAACGACATTTCTTTTTTCGTATGGTCCTCTTTAAGATGATAGGAATATTTTCTTTTTTCTTTTTCGATGTTTATCTTGGCTCTACAAATATATCCACCACCTTTCAGCTCGAAGTCTTCGCCATACGATAAAAATACTATAAACTCTCTTTCTTGTTGACTTTTATGAACATCGATCGAGGTGTATTTTCTACCTAAAACAAAAAACAGTTTTACGTATTCAAAGTCTGTTGTTCGTAATAACTCGTGACTGCTCGATTCTATTGGTTCGAGTGGTTGTCCGAGTATTTTAGTTGATGGTGGAATTTTGATTATTTTAGATGATGGTGGATTTTCCGTCTCCAATATCATATCCAAATCTTTGATTCCAAGGATATCCTTATTATATATTACATGCAATTTAAATTGGTCTACATATTTATCATTTTTTGTTTCAATTTCATATAATCTATCCATTTTTACTTTGGCCTTTTCTATCGAAGGCAGTGTCACTTTCGAATGGAAGATTGAAATAATACGACTTGTCCGAGACAATAGCTTCTAATTTGGTCAACTTTCTCTCTTGTCTCAAAAAATCGTCATGAATTCTAGATACCAAAAGATTGACCTGTTCTTTAATATAATTTTTCATATCATCTCGAAATTTATTTTGAAGAAAGTTTTTAATCACACCCACTTCTTTTTCTAATTCGTCCGTGATTTTAGTATCCAAAGCAGTCAATTGTCGTTTCAACGTATCTTTGTCAATGGGAAGTGTGTTAATTATATCTTGAACATCTGATTTTTACTTCGCGATCTTTTCGTTCAAATTGGATATCGAATTTTGTAACTCGGTTTTGTCCACGGTCTTGTCTAGTTCTGCTAGCAATTCGCCAAGTTTTCTTTCCAAAGCGGCTAGTTTTTGTTTCAATCTATCCTCGTTTACATTTGGGTTATCTATTAAACGTTGGACGTCTATTTTTACCTTCGTAATCTTATCGTCTAATTTAGATATTAAATTTTGCAGCTGACTTGTTTTATCCACTTGAATAAGACGTTTCAAACTCGTTAACTCTTGTTGTAGTTTGGGTTCGTCCACAAGATTTTTAATATTTCCCCTGAGGTATCTTTTCACGTCAGTTATTCTATTTTCAACATGGTCCTTATCTATTTGAATTTGATCCAGTAAATATTTCTTGTTCACGGCATCGTTATCGTTTCCTGGAAACTTTAAATTAGTTATTTTGAAATTGTTCATATCGATATCCCCTTGTAAGGTGTCTCCGATTTGATCCACGAAAAAAGGTTTCGCTTTGTTTATAAACGCTGTCATGGAATTTGTAGATTCTAGAGGTAAAGACCCTAATCCAAACTTGTTTGCCATTTTTATTGAGTTAAATTTATTATAATTTCTTCAAACTTTTCTCCCAAACTCAACCGATATAAAACCCATAGCGACAGCTGTCCACACAGCTTTTGTCCTGGCATTTGAATTTGAAACGTAGAACATTTGATTGGTTTGCTAGTCAATTTCGTTATCTCTTCTGTCGGCTCTAGACCGAAAGAATCAAAGAAATAAAAGTTATTCGAAGAATCTTTGTGTAGAGCAGAGTGATGAACTCCTTTTTGATCCGACGTATGAATGTTTGTGATCGCGTAAAATTTACCTTTCTTGTATTTCAGTTCATCAATTTCATCTCGCATGCCATAATAAAACGGCGAGACGTTCAATTCCTTGGCCCATTTCACAAGTTGAAAATTTGTGGTCTTGTCTTTTCCGTATTTATCGAGAAATGCATTCATTTTTTAAGTTGATTTTTTTAGGTGTTTTTCGAAGTAGGCGGTAAGTATTGCTGAAGACCTAATTGACGAAATA